AGAATGTCATTTTGTAATTACGTATTTAAGATTAATAATATGTTACATCATGTAGGCGATTTTTTCAAACCGCAAAACCGCACAAAACCACCCGCATCAAACCGCACCGCACGACGCGATTTATAGCTTTCGCGGTGCGGTTTGCGGTTTCCGATAAACTCAAACCGCATATGCGGTGCGGTTTGTGGTACAAACCGCACTGCGCACACCCCTAATACATAATTCAAAATCCAAATACAAATTGTCATACAAAATCCAAATACAAATTGAAATACAAATAAAAAACAGCATAATAATTTACATACAAATTTAAAGTTAACCATTTGAAAATGGTTGATTAGCAATCTGGTTACATAAAGTAATCATATATTCAACGGCTTTCTAAACCTATTCTATGTCTTGTATGTTTTGCCTCTTTTTCTGTCATACCTAATGAATGAATGAATGATGAAATGTGACATTGGGTTTAATCAATATACACATACATACAAATAAACACATACACACAAATACATACAAACACACAAATACACACACTCTAACAGTTTTGTAACAATAATTTTATAGTTTTTTAACATCTGTTAATCAACTCATTTGGCATACTGTTATTCAACTCATTTGGCATACAATGTGGATATTGTGTAAATAACATGAAAGTATGCACATATCGAGCAAAGCAACAACAAGAATACAACAAGAAGAGCACATCAACTAGTAAAAATAGGGAAAAAAAGTAAATAAATTCATCAATTATTGCATACATCCACAACAAATCGAAAAGGAACAACATAAGGACAGCAAAGTCGAAAATCACAGAAAAAATCCAACACTTCAGCAAGATTCAAGCAACAAAAAACGAGAAAAAGGCAAGGAAAACTAACATGTTCAGAAGGTAAATCGTCTCTAGTTGAGTGGTCGGAGGAAGAAGCAATCAGCGAGCAGCAGATCAGGATAGGGATCTGATCGTCGTTGCCTTTTCTCAGTGGAGGCCGTCACAAAATCGTAGGGCAAAATCGGAAAAGGCACTTGAGATTGTATTTCTCTTACCAGTCGGGCGATTAAAAGAGAAGGACCGAATCAACTCTTTTTTTTGGACCGAGTCCTTAGCTTCGACCGAGTCCTGATTGCAAAAACAAAATCAAACATACTGATTTTTTTTTTTACCGGGTCCTCTATTGTACGAAGCAATATCAAACACCCCCTAAGTCTACGTGACTTAACCCACCCTTAACCTCAAGGGAGGGAGGAAGGGCCACACCCGCTCGGCTAGAAGCCTAGTATTTTCGACGGCATGATATTTTCATCCGGGTTCGATTTTCTTGCCCAACAACCGCCGACCGCCCTCCGCAGTCCGCCCCTCCAAGGCTCCAACTCCGTAGCCATATTTTGCTCCACGAAAGTTGTTCTCAGTTTCGCATTTGTTCCACCTTGCAAGGTTTATACCAGACGACTGCTCTTAAGTTTGTGCAGAGTTGATATCTTTCAGATAACTCCAGTGTTTATAGACTACAGTAATTTTTCGATCTTTAAGAAGTTGTAGATATCGATTTTGGGAAATTTCAACTTTTGAGGTTGGAAGAAATTGGGAATTCTGAAAAGGCAGACGATAGACAGAAAAAGAAGAAAGGGGATGGGAGGTTCAAAGATGGAGGAGGAAACCTCTTCTTCCGTCGATCCTTCTGCAGTTGCTAATCGTACAGACCCGTATGACGTTTTGAATGTTTCAAGAGATTCTTCCGATCAAGAGATTAAATCTGCTTACAGAAACCTCGCTCTCAAGTTAGTTTCAGTTTCCTTTCTTTCTTTCTGATATATATTTGTAAAGTGCTTCAAATTGTTGTATTGTCTTTAATATTGAGTGCCGGTATTTAAATCGATTTGTATCCATCAAATTTAACCCCACCTCCAAAACCTTTTGAAAGAACTTTTTTGTGATTTAAATCTCTTTATTCTGTTTCAGATTGATGAAGAATAAGAAAGAATCGGATTTGTTGGAGGTAAGGACGAAGACCATATATTTTTCTACTAATTTTTTTGTCGCTCTTTGATTTTATGTCTTTTTGAATGGGTTTATTGGATCTGGTGGAATTGTTATATGCATAGATCTTCTTGAATGAGCTTGACGAAAGCTTGCTTCTTATAGCCTCAAGTAAGTTGAAGTTTTCTTTTATCAACTCATGTTTACTCATAGTTAACCACATTTTCTCCAATTCAATTACTAATTTTCTGTGGTCAATAAGTATGTCGACAAGTGACTGGACTTGAATTTATGTCTGAAATTTGAAACTCTGATTGAAGGATTGTCGAGAGTCTAAAGGTTTTCATATGACTGTCGAGCACTAATAGAAATGGATCTTAATGTTTTTATTAAAACTATGATTCTGTGAGTTAGGCTTTATTTTTTAAAGAAGATTAGTGTTTCTGTTATGATTTCAGATATGGATGAATGGTCTTCAACATTTTTCTCACAATTAACTTTAAACCAAAGTTACAGGTTGTATAAACTTCCATCAAGGTATATTTGACATTTTATGTAAAAAATTTGATGAAAATTAATTAATTTTCCTGTGTTCTTACAGGCATATCATCTCCTATAATCTGAATATGTGACATGGAACCTTCATTGCCCTTCGCGCTAGAACGTTGCACAAACCTGGTAAATCTTTGCCTTCATTTTTTTACTGTGTTTTTATTTAATTTCTTTGGTTTATTATTTGTATCTTTTTTGGTGTAATTGTATTTTACGATGCTCATTATGTGAGGATTTATTAAAAATATTTGAAAAATATGGTGTTTAGATCATCTAAAAGCGTATAATTTGTGAACTAATAGCCGAACAACAGCAACACAAGAATCATCTCCACTGGTATGTGTGTTTCTTATTCTTACTGTGTATCAGTTTGTAGGAATTTTTGGGTGGTTATCGGTTGTTTTCTATGCTTAAATTCATAGTATACTTCATTATAGTAAAAATATATTAAATTAGTTCACAGTTGTAGTACTTCAATTGATGGGTTTAGTGTTTACGATCAAGATGCATAAAAGGTGTTCGGCACAATCAATGCTTTTGATGCATGAGATTAGCTGCCACATGCTCTCATTTTTATTTCTTTCTGTTACAACATTCTACTTAAAAAAAATCTTATTAACAAGTTGTAAATAAAAAAGCTTTTACCATACTTTTATTTTTATTTTCCTTATTAGGACATTATACTTGAAAAAACTACCCACATCACATGTAACTATGAAAATCGCTTTGTATATGAGTGTTGCTATAATTGGTAGATTTTTAAGAGTAGAATGTTGTAATAAGAAGATATGAAAGTACAATGTTACACTAAATGAACCAACAAAAGTGGATTGCTATCTTTTGCATTTAATCCAAATCTAAAAGACAATTGCTATAGACAATCTTAGACACGAGTGTTATGAGTAAATAGCACGAATTAACTAAACGTTCTTGAATCACTCTTAAAAGAAAAGGGGTAATTTGTGAATTCAAAAAATGAGTTTTATTTATTTATACTGATTATTTGTAGAACCAGAGCAAAACATCACTCTTATATCAATTGACCGACCTTGCTGCAAGGAGGAAGATTCAAGATTTGACCATTGGTCCAGTGATAAGTTTGTGCTTAATCTGGTCGTAGATGAAGTTCCAAAAAAGAAAGTTATCTATCTGTTGTATTTAATTGATGCAAAAATAATAGTAAAAAGCAGTAAAAAAAATGTGATTTTTGATGTTTGCAGTTCACAATGGAGGCTATACTAGATCACATGAACAAATTGCTTCAGATTCCTGGATCAAAGAATCAAGGAAGGAATGGAATTGTTCGTTCCGTTGCCAGATGGAATGGATGGAACGGACCATTTAGTTCTTCGTATTTTGTTAATTTTTCATTGTTTGCTGACTAAATGTTCCAGCTTTCCGTGTAATAAATTCAAGTATTCTTGATTTAGCTCTTAATTTGTTGTCTACTAGGGCGGCTCCCCAAATTCTCATATCTCCTTTCTGTCATGTATAGGAAATTAGTGGAGATGTTGGAATGCTTAAGGTGCGCTTGGTTGTGGAAAATATTCCAAAAAAAAAAACGGAAATTTTGAAAACGCTTTTGGTTCGTTGAAAATGAAAACCCCATCGATTCCAACCAAACACGTTTTCCGAAATTTTCATTGAAACTGAAAATGAGAACTCAACTCTATTTTTTTATAACACTTTCTTAGAAAATGAAAACAGTTTTTCACAACCAACCCACCTTTAGGTTGTGTTTAGTTACGGAAAAATAGTTTTCATTTTTCGTTTTCCGATTTCCTTTTTCAGTTTCCGTTTTCCGTTTTTAGTTTTCATTGGAAAACTTAGAAAAACGTTTCGTTAAAACTTATTCATTTTTCGTTTTCAGTTTTAGAAAATTAAAAAACGTGTTTAGATATGTAATTTTCTGTAGGTTTTTATTTTTAGAAAACGGTAGCGGTGGTAGGGTGGGGGTGGTGATTGGGTAGTGGTGGTGGTGATGGTAGGTC